TAAGATGTTTAGACAAGTGAGGCTGCGGGCAGTCTCCTGCTCACCTACTCCTGGTCAGGAAGCTGCTGCAAAACAAGAACCACAGACAAAAAAGGAGCAAGGACAGAAACAGGAGACTCCACAGGGAAGAGAGGGGACAGGAACCTGGAGTCAGGAACTCAGGAACACTGCAAGGACCATGGTGACTGTGTGTAACTGGAACAGAGGAGAAGGACATCCCGGATGTGAGCAAACTGGGAGACCCTGCAAGATCACACGCGAGAAACCTAATGGGAAAGAATATCTCAGAAGAGATTTCCACAACTATTAGAGAACTCAGGGATGGGCCATAAAAAAGTTTACACAAAACTAGCCCAAAACTAATCAAGTAAGAAAGATTATGGCAATTATTAACTCAAGGATACAAAGTGTGAGAAAGAAATAATCTTAGCTGATTACATGGTTCAGCTCAGCATAGCATGAGAATTCATGATATGGATAATGAATAGTGATTGAAGTGAAATTATGATATAATTACATTGGGTGGGGCTCGGGATGCTAAGAGACGGGCTGGGAGTATAGAGATAATGTCTCAAACTGAAAATCAAGAAAAGCCTTCTATTTAAAGACATAGGAGCTGGTTGGGTGTGGTGGTAGCATCTGCAATCCTAGCTAGCACTTGGGAGGTAGAAGTTGAAAGGAAGGCAAGGTCATCATTGGCAACAGATCAAGTTCAAGGCCACCCTGGGTTACATAAGACCCCCATCTCAGAATAAAACAAAATAAAAACAAAGATCGAGGCAGAAAGGAAAGTAACCCACAAGAAGAACAGGAAGTTTTCTGTGGAACTGGCTGGCAAGAAATGTTAGATCCTGTCATTTTTTGTCACCGACCATATCGAACTGTTTGATTCTTTCAATTAAATTACATAGAATTTTTTTGGGAAAAAGACCCTCAGCTAATTCACAGTGGGTACCCTTAAGTACCTTAAAATGTGATTGCAATCTTGTCGGGGCCAAGGAACCTAGTTAGGCTCAAATGGAGCAGGGTTGCAGGGTTTATCATGACAGGTAGGGGTCAGTTATTCGGTTAATAAAGTTGTTCAAAACCCTGGAGCACAGCCCTGCCTTCACATTAGTGTCACACGGGGACTTGGAGAGCTTCTTCATGCCATGCTTCCCCTGAACCAGTGAATCCCTGAGGCAGGCAGATGGAGGCAGCCAAAGTTGGAAAGCACTTCCCAAGATTCTAGTGTGCAGTCTGCTGAATCTATTGGTGGCCTAAGGAAACTTTTAAAAATTTACCTCTTGACTCAATCATTCTTTCATTTTTGGTGTTGAGACAGAGGCTACCTCCATACGTATCCCCAGACAGTTTTTAACTTGCCCTGGAATGCTGAGGCAAATACAGATGTGTGCCCCTATTCCACCCCCAGCCTCGTAACCTTCCTTGTTAAAACATTTACCACTATTTTTTAAGTCAGGGCTTCCTGCGTTGTAGGCTAACCTGAGTCTCCTGATGTAGCTTAGGGTGACCTTGAGTTTCTGACCCTCCTCTCTCAGCCTTCTGATTACAGATTGCGCCACCACACACCCAGTGCGCGTAGTGCTAGGGACTGAACCCAGAATCTCTGCACCCCAAGCAGGCAGTTTACCAACTGAGCTATATCTCCATGATCCCTGGCTTCATTTCTTTTATTTATAATTATTTACTTAAAAATGCTTGTCATATGTATATGATATGTGTTTGTGTGTGCGGATCTGTGCGTTTGAGGGTGCACATGGAAGTCCGAGGACCTCAGGCACCAGTTCTTTCCTTCCGCCTTGTTTACAGGAAGGTCTCTTGTTTGGCAAATTTGGATTCCAGGCTAGTTGGCCTCCTGATTTCTGGGGAATTCTGTCTCTGCCTCCTGTACTCGGGAGTAGGGTGCAGACACATACCACATCTGGCTTTTGTGGGTTCTGGGGATCTGACCTTAGGTTAGATCCAGACTGGATACCGAGCACTCTTACCCACTAAGCCATCCCCTGGGCTCCTCATTTGCATTTTCAGTTTTTCTGAATTCAACTCTAAGAGAGGCATAGCTACAAACTACAAACTGGGGCTGGAGAGGCGGCTCAGTGGCTACTGGCACTTACTGGCAAGCCTGGCCACTGGAACCCACATAAAGGGAGGAGGAAGAAAAGCAACTCCACAAAGTTGCCCTCTGACCTCCACATCCCCTGTACCCTCCCAATTAATACACAATTAATACCTATGCAATAATAATAAACAAACTTTAAAAGGAAGAAAACACGGGCTGGAGATGCGCAGCTGGCAAGCATGCCTGTTGCGCTCGCAGATGATGGGAGCTTGGTTCTGGAAGCTTGCAACTGCCTATCACTCCAGGTCCAAGGGATCCAAACCCCTCTTTTCGTCCCCTTGGGTACCCATCCACATATGTACACACAGATACAGACACATGCACATAAATAAAAATAGAGATAGAATATTATACAAAAACCCCACAAACTAATACTTTTTGCCAGTTGAGCAGAGTCTATAAATGACAGTTGGTGGGCACAAGGCCAGGCATAAAGGCCCCAGGGTAGAAAGTGCCAGATGATGGGTTTGCAGAAGCTCTACTTGGCTGCAGAGAAGGGCTGATGACACTGGTCCCACCAAGTCAGGGCATGTGGCTGCATGGTGTCTGGGAAGCCAAGGAGCAAAAGTTGTCTGTTGTCTGTATTTTAAACGCTCAAATTGTGCTTCCCCAGATCTTGCTCAGGTAGTTCTCCCCATTTTCCCTTTGCTACCTTGGGGTTTCACCATGAAAGGAGTTGGAACCCCACATCTTTCTGGTGGGAATGCTGAGCAGGGCAGCTGCTAAGAACAGTTTCATGGCTCTGCTGCATGCTAAGCCTACAGTTATCACAGGGCCCAAAATCCCACCTAAGCTTGCACCCAGGAGTGCTGAAAGTCTGCAAAAAGCACGTAAAAGCATGCTCAGAGAACCGCATTCACACTAGTCAACAAGGGAGAGCCACCCACATTCCAGCTCTCTGTGTGTGGTAAGCATGATGCAGCATTAGCCTTGAGCAGGAGTGGAGTCCTGACATGCTACATCGTGCAGAAGCCTGGAAAACACTCGACTAAACAAGAAACCAGACACAAAAAGCCCTGAGCTGTCTGCTTCCAGTTATGTGCGGTGTCCAGAAGAGGCAGCTCCAGAGGCAGAAGGTAGCTTAGCGGTTGCTGGGGAGGGGAGGATCAGAAGTGTGGGGTTTCTGTCTGAGTGAGGGAATTAAACAAGGGGTGATGGGTGTGCGATCCTGTACACACTCTAAAACTCACTGAAGGGTGTGCTTTAAAATGCTGAAAAGAATTTTGTCTTGTGTGAGCTTTATCCCCATGCAAATGCAAAGAAGTGAACTGTCAGAATGTGATGTTAGAATCCAGCCTCTGCCCAGGCCACGGTATTTGCAGCGGTTCCTCCCCTCTCACTGTCACAGACAGGCAGGCACCTACCGTCACCTACAGTCAGGCATCTACTGAGGAGGCACCTACTGAGGCACTGTTAATTTCTAGCTAACAGACTCACCGGGGGGGGGGGGGAGCAGAGAGTACACAACAAATGGGCCATGGGTGCTACGGGTGCCATGTGCCACTCAATGCCCTCTTCCCTGCCTACTGCCTGGGAATCAGTCTACCTGTAGGCTTGCATTCTTCCCCCATTCTCAGAAAGGTTTCAAAAAAAGACACCCACTTCTGCCACATGGGCCCTGATTTCCCTTCTTCAGGGACTCCCCAGAATTGGAATTTCCCTAGGAATCTCATGAAAGGAAGAGAAGGCCAGAGAGCTAGCTGAGCAGGTAAAGGTGATTGTTATAAAGTTAATGACCTGAGTTTGATCCCAGGGAACTGCACTGTGAAAGGAGAGAACCAGCTCCTGTAAGTTGTCTTCTGACCTCCAATTTGTACTGTGGTGCACACGCGCATGCACACACACACACACACACGCACACACACACACTAACTAAACAAATAATAAACGTAGTTTAGCTGATAAGATGGCTTGGTAGGTAAAAGTATTTGCCACCAAGCCTGATGACCCAAAATTGATCCCTGAGACCTACATCTCCATCCAGAAGCTCTGTGTGTGTGTGTGTGTGTGTGTGTGTGTGTGAGAGAATGCAGGTTAATGATGGCCAGGGAGGCTTGGAGGGGCACATTGCCCACCACCCTGCAGCGTTTGAGTGAACTGGAGAGTGGACGGGGAAACAGGAATGATTTAAGAACTTTCATGTAGATTAAATGTTTAAAGCAAAGCTTTGTTAAGGCTGGAGAGCGAGCACTAGCTGCTCTTCCAGAGGACCCATGTTCGATTCCCAGCACCCACATGGTGCTCACAGCTGTCTGTAACTCCTGTTCCAGGGATCTGACACCATCTTTTGGCCTCAGAGGCACCAACCACATATGTGGTACACAGATAAACATACAAGCATAAGATGAATATACATTATAAAAATAAAAATTACCCCCCCCCAGCAATATAAACCAAACCCTGGGTTATAGTGAAGGACACACTGTCGTCAATTGAAGTTACTCCCAAGAACAAAAGTCTTGCTGAATTAGAGAAATAGCCAGTCTTTTTGAAAAATGTATATACATTTATTAAAAATTTGAAGTTACTTAAAATTTTATTAGAGGGGGACGCTATAAATTCAGAAGTCCTGGGAATTAGGCACAGAAAAACAGGCTTCCAAGGAATCCTTAAGGTTTTCTATTGCCTTCTTCATTGCTCTGGGGTTTTGGTGCTTTAGGTTCTTCTGCCTGGCAACCCTGGCTCCTGAACTCTTCCTCAAAAACCCCAAAACAGATGGGAGAGGCTCTGGTGTGCGCACAACCAAGTGCAGACAAGACAGCCACGCTTCTACCGAGCGGATGTAGTTCTTTGGGGTGATGTAACCAGAAGACACCCCCCCACCCCCACCCCCGCTTAGTGACGAGCCCCTCCCCCTTCCAAATGCTGCCCCGTTGCAACCCCAGGACTCCATGCAGCGTGCAGGTAAAAATGTCTCTAGGCAGGAGGATTTCCTCAGTTCTTCTCCGGCCATCTAAAACGGTCCCTTAGCGGGTCACAGTCAAGCAGGTAAAATCGTTTTTAAAATTTTAAAACTTAAAACTTTTTCCAGATATACAGGATGGTCGTCGCGATGATGCTGGACAGAAACGCCTTGATGAGCACTCTCCTCCAAACAATGACTGGGAAGGGGCTCCTGAAGAAATCGCAAAAGCCATCCTGTAAGGGGCACACGAGGAGCATTAGACTGACTCTCCATGAACAAACCCGAGCCCAAAATACACAGAAGGTGGGGCCGAAGAGGTGGCTCAGCCACTGAGAGCGAGAGCACTGGCTGCTCTTGCAGAGGACTTGGGTTCAGATCCCAGCACTCACGTGGTAGCTCACCATGCCGGTTAATTCCAGGTCCAGGGGACCTGGTGCCCTCTATTGGCCTCGCTGAGCACTGCATGTGCATGACACAACATGAATACATCCACACAGAATAAAAAATATCTAATAAAATTTCACAGGAAGGGCTAGCATGGAGCTTGGTGCTCAAACATGTGATGAGCATGCACACAACCCTGGGCCAATCTCTAGTATGAAGGTTCTAGATCCTGCCATAAAATGAAAGACACGTGCCTACCAGACATCCCATTGGATCTTCACAGCAGTTCAACTGCATAGAAACGACCATCTAACTGCCCCATATGGCAGAGATGCCTCATAACACCTTACATTTTACCTCAACACTGAGGAAAGACATCTAGGAGAACTCTATAAAAACCTCTTTACTTTCTGACGCCTTCCCACAACCTCCAATAAAGTTGAAAAATTTAAACCTTGGGCATTCTCTCCTTTGACGGCACCTGTCTGTCTTCAGCTCTTCTATTCACCCCTAATCCCCCACCCCCCGTCTTCAAATCAAAGTCAAAATGGTTTCAGAGCTCATCGAGGCCCCCTGGGTCAGACCCTTTATAACTATCTTGATTCTTACATTCATAGCCTCCCCCTTAGCGCACTGCCCACCTCAACTCATCCAGACTGCAGTGTGTACAGCACATGACGCAGGCTCACGGGGACAATATCCTTCCATTGTGCCAACCCAGACGTCAGTCTCTGACTCAGATCCGTCGAGACAAGAGATGTGGTGACTCCACACCACCCCAAGTTAATATGTAGTAACCAGAGGTTTGAATTCATGCCTGTCACCCCAAAACAAAAAGCCTGGGAAGGTTATATTTGTGTACAGAGTGCATTCGAGCCATGCTCGCCACGGCAGCTGCTTTCGCTGCCTTCACAGCTCAGATGGAAGAAATAGCGGAGGCCCCACTGGAAGCCGGCCAGTGATGTGTAAGCGTCTCTTCCCCAAAGGGAGTTTACCAACCCCGGGCTCCCTGAGGCCCCAAGTATGGCCAGCAAATCCTGTATGGTGAACATACATTAACCAACGAAGCCGACCTTTTCCCCTACCCTTGCTGCTCCAGAAAAGGTAACAACCAACTTCAAGCACATATTCACCACTATGTGGCATTGGACCTCTTCCCTCCTCTGGAACCCATAAGAGGGGACTCGGGCTTTGTCCCATAGACCTGAACACCATGCAGAGCCCAACAATGCTGCCTTTCCTTGGTGTTAACTCTGTGAGCGAGTCTCTTATCCAAAAGAAAACTGGCCTCCCAAGTCTGAGAGCTCATAGGGAGAGAGGAGAGGAGTGAGGAGAGAGCTCAGAGGGTCCTCAAATCTCCAGCTGAAGGCAGTCTACCAGCCCAGTGAGACCCACACAGCAGGAATGGGGCAGGAGTTACCGCTAACCACGCACACCGCCTTTCTTTCTCAGGTGGTCTAAATGGAGACTGCTGACAGCAGGCTTTTTTTTTAATAGCAGGTTTTAATAGTTAAGTTACATTTATAGTATAACACGGGTCACTTCAGTTTTGATTCAACCCCAAGGAAGAGGAAGTAAAGAAACCTGAGGCCAAGCTCAGCATATGGGCCAAACTAGGGTAGAGCTTTTTTTTTTTTTTTTTTTTTTTCCTTTTCTGGCGGTGCTGGAGATTGAACCCAAGGCCTCACAGATGCTAACAATCTACTACTAAACTTTATTCCCATGCTGGGTGTTTTCCTCTGTGTAGCTGCCTCTTTAGCTTTTACAACTCAGAGATTAAGGAGCAACAGAAAGCCAGGAGCCTGCCCAGCAGGGAAAAGGGCAGTGGGCGAGAAGACCCCAGTCAGGGGCCACATTTGGTCACAGACATTTCACAACCCCTAGGGTTTTAGTTTCCTACAGGGTAAGAGAAAGGAGAGGAAGTTCTGGAGGGCCAGACTGAGGTCCTGGGCATGACCACAGTCCCCTTTATACAACTTGGGCTTATCAGACCTAATAAGCCAACCCTGAAAGTTCCGAGGGCAAGGGACAGAGAAGGCCATGTGTGCCTAGTCACCCCTGAAAGGATTTTTCTGAGAACTATTGAGCAAGGGCCGTCTGAGTGCCTCTAAAAAAAATCCTTGGGTTGGGGCCATGGCTCAGTAAATAGTGTTTTTCTGGCCTGTTCAAAGCCACCCCGCGGGTGTCCACATCCGCACCACATCAACCCATCCACAGTAGCATAGCCTGTAAGTAGTGCCCCGGGAATGCAAGCAGGACCATAGTTACAGGAGGCTATGTAATGAGTCCAGCCTGGGCTACCCGACTTTAGGAAAAAAAAAAAAAACCAGTAAAGGAAGAACATAAAATCAGACTGCACAGTACAGCTGAAGTGCTCCTGGTCTCTGAGAGGCATTTAGCACAGCACCCCCACCCCACCGCACCCCACCCCCACACACCATCACGCCCACGCTTCGCGTGTGGTCTCACCCAGCCGTCATGAGCCTCCAGCCACAAGCGACGCTGTCTCAGGAGCCGACTACACAGTAAGTCCACTATGAGATGGCAGTCTCGGGTCACTTGCGTTTGATTGTTCAGACCAGTCTTCTGCCTGGTCGCCTGGCTATGGTTTTGATTCAGAAGCGTCCCCGCGAAGGTCAAGAGCAGCACCAGGCGGCCCCAGTTGAAGTTTTGGCCATCGGAGAACATCCCATCCGCCATCTGTCTCACCAGCTCCACGCGGTTGCCCTGGTAGCCAAAGAAGGTGGAGAAGAAAGCCTCGTGCTGCCGTTGCATCCGTGCTGCCAGAGAGCGCAGCAATTCCGCCTCGACCGATGTGGGCGGTGACTCGGGGACACCTGGCTCCCGAGCACAGAACGTCAAGAAGTCTGTCACCAGCCGTCTCGTGCGTTCCTGCAATGGGTCGTCCATCCTTAGGCCTCTGCACCCGGCCCAACCCAGCCGGCTTTCAAGGCCCAGCGGCTTCCGGCCTCCACCCCCCCAGATGATTGGGAATCTCACTTGCACCTGTTGCAGGGTGAGAGGCTCGTGATGGAGCAAACAAGAACAACGTGGGACCCTCGGGTTACTGCTTATCATTTGCCTGAAGGATTAAGAATTAGCGGGGTTCTGGAACTTTCTAGGTGTTGGTAGGCCTTAGAATTGTCATTCTCCTACCTCGGCCTCCTGAATCTCTGGAATTACAGGCTTGTGCCATCAGGCCGGGGTAGAAATTACATCTTAACTTGCTATGAACTGGGCCCACTTGTTGGGAAAGTGAAGATATATAAATAATTTTGCAAAGCAGCTGTCCTAAGGTGGAGGAGGCAATGCAGGCCCTGCCCCTGACTCTTGCTTGTCTCTGACCTACCAGCTACGCTCCCTAGAATCCCTGCAGGCCTCCCTTGACCAAGTCTCTTGTACATTCAACATTCCTAACGTTGTGACCCTCGCCTTGCGGTGACTCCCAACAATAAAATTATTTTGTTGCTACTTCATAACTATAATTTTGCTAGTTATGAATCCTAAGTACCTGCTATGCTGGATATCTATCTGATATGGGACCCCAAAGGGGTCACAGGTTGAGGACCCCTGCTCTGGTAGGTTACAGTTCTGCTGGGCTCTATTCCTTGTGGGCCCTTCTGGGGCTGCTTTTTGACTTTCTGTGAGCTGAGGTTACCCCATTTCCCAGAGATCACTTGTGCCCAGCTGTCTGGTCACTTCTTTATGTCCACACTCTCTAGAAGCCTGCTTTAATCCAGGGCAGTCTCCCTGAGGGGCAAAGAGAACTCTCTAGAGTGTCAAAGTAAAACCCAGAACCGTCGTGTGTCCCTGAGACTCTTTCAGGGCTCCTGAAATAATCCTAACGACATGACAAAAAATGTATGTGACATTTCTCACTCTCAAGTCCAAAGAGGCTGCTGAAGTCACAGTAGCGCCCCGATGGCAGGAAGAATGTGCTTTCTGCATTCTGGGGTCTCTCTGAGGAGCAACGGTCTGGGCTGAGGCTATAAAGGCAAAGCCAACACTATGCAAAGAGCAAGCCAGAGCAGGGGGCCAGGCAATCTGGGGGTGCACTCCTTCTCCTGCTTCTCAGGGGCAGCAAATCTTTGACTGGCCAGATGCCCAAGGCCACGCATAGTGCCAGTTTTACCCAGGAATGATCACCAGTGTCCAAGATGACCTTAGATTCCCAGTATTCTAAAAAAAAAAAAATCCTTTTAGAGATGGGGTCTTGGAGGCCTGGGGCTGTACCTCTCAGATGGTAGAGTGCTTGTGACTCATGCCAGAAGGTCTGGGTTTGGTCCCAGCAGTGCATCTACAATTTTAGTGCACCCAGTGTGGTGCATGCTGGCAAACGCGGTGTTCCAGCACCTGAGTGGCAAGGGCAGAGGGACCAGAAGTTTACAATCCTACTTGACAATGTAGCATGTTTGAGGGCAGCCGGGGAATATATGATCCATTGTTTCATAAAAAAAAACAAAACAAAACAAGGGGCAGTGAGATTGTTCAGCAGGTAAGGGTGCTTCTTACCAAGCCTGAGGATCTGCGTTCAATCCCCAGGCACCATAAGTGGAAGGAGCGAACAGGCTTCCACTAGACAGCACTCTGACATCCACACGTGTTCTGTGGTGTGGGTATTCACCACACACACACACACACACACACACACACACACACACACACACACACACAGAATGAATAAATGAATAGAATAATGAACAACTAAATATAAAAAGACAAAATAGAGCAAAACAAACACCCCTCCCCCCACACAAAATGAAAAGCGGGGGTCTCATACGTGCCTGAGGTTGGCTTTGAGCTCTTGGGCTCAAGACACCTCCTCCTGCCTCTGAACCACCCCCTCCCCAAGTACCTGGACTTAAAAGCGTGTGCCACCACGGCTGTTAACATGACATTTTACTAGATACGGCATTTCTAAAAGAACAAGTCTCTACACCTTTAAAAAAAAAATAGAAGAAAAAGCAGGGACCTTGTAATAAGAAGCAGCCAGTAGCATCTAGAAGGAATTGCTAACTCAAATAAAGACAGGACACCCCTTTGATAGCAAAGACATTATTATTCATGACCTGGCCATTGGTCGTGGTACAGCTGCTGTGTAGGACACTCGAATATGATTTACACGCACAGCACCCACTTTAACTTAGGCATTTCTGATAACACTACTAGTAGGCTTAATCCATTTAGTGTCTTGTCTTCCCAGACCAGAAGGTTCTGGTTGCTCTCGGCAGCGTTTGAGCTATAATTGGCAAACAGTTCTTCCCCTCCAGTGTGGGGGACTGCCCCGCCCTAGCCCACCAACTATGGCAGCGCCACAAGTCAGACATCTGGCCTGTTTTCTGCACATGTCTGCTCCCTTTAGAAAGGCTCTCCCAGACAAACACATTTCATCTAAAAAAATACAACTGAACAGGTTGGGAAAAAGAGATACCTTTACATAAAAACAGTTTTAAAAAGTGGTTCTGTGTAGTCACAGTTGGAGCTGGAATTTTCTTCTATGACAGACCAATGCACAGTCATTCTCACAGTCCATAGAGCTGGCATGTCCAGAGGAAGGTTCTAGAAGCCACAGTCCACGCCAAGAAAAGGTAATTTAAAGTGCTCTGAAGACAGACTGGATTCGAGATTCGAGGAAGTGACGGGGGACAGTTTAAATGCTGATAAATGTGGAACTCTACTGGATGAAATAACTTAAAAAACAGACAAACTCTACAGAGTGCTGGAGATGAAGCACGGACTTGAAGGTACAGTCGAAGTGCCGAGACCTACAGGGGTGCATTTCCAGGAAGGGGACGGTTTTCGTGGTGACACTCGAGGGCTGAGTGAGCTGAGCTGTGAAGTTGCTCCCATAAGCTAACCTGTGGGAAGTCCTGGGCTCCTCTAGAAGTCATAGCTACATGGGAAGACACATGTTCTTCACGCACTCTGTGAGAGGATTATGCCCAAACCTGAGGAGACAAAGACAGATCATTTTTAGTAGTCAATTATTCATAAAACTTGAGTTTAACAGAGGAAAACAGGCTGTACACACACACACACATACATACACAATACACATACACACATACATACACACATACACACATACACGCACACACATACACACACAGATGCATACACATGCACACACACATACACATGCACACACACATACACATGCATACACACATGCACACGGATACATATACACATACACACACATACACACAGACACACATGCATACACATACACACAGACGCATACACATGCACACACACGTACATACATACACACATACACATGCATACACACATGCACACACATACATATACACACAGACACACACACACAGATACACACACACACCACTCACACACTCCACCAAACAGGGCTCTCAAGGGCTTCAGCTTTCTGACACCTACCCTTCAGTTAACCGTCGGCAGGACGGCCACGGGTGACACCTTAGACTGAGAACTGAACCACACGAATCCTCACAGCTTGCTGTTGTTCTTCAACACCTCACTACTAAACTTTGTTTTTGAAACGTCGCAAAAAAATCTTTTTATCTCTTTGTCCCAAAACTAGACACTCAACCTATTCCCATTAAAATAAATAGAACAGGAAGGGCTGCTTACTTTCTAAGACCTTAGTACAGCATTCTTCATTCATGATTTAGTGTGTGTGTGTCTGTGTGTGCTGGAGCGAGCACGAGCAGGTCAGTGGATAATTTGTGGGCCCCAGTTCTCTCCAACCACTCTGTGGGTTCCAGGACTCAAAGTCAAGCTGTTGGGCTTGGCAGCAAGTGCCTTTACCCATGAGACATCTTGTTGGCCCCTCTAAGACTTTCTTTAAAATCTGCCCCTCACCCTCTGCCCAGTCATGTTAAAATTATTATGCTCCAAATATGTCCAAGCCTAATCAAGTCTTTATGCAAAGGTCTATCTCAAACTCAACCCCTAAACTCTCACACAAGGCTCTGTCAGACTTGGGATCTCGCATAGCAATGGGCGATGTGCTCGGCACTCCCATGCTCCAGGGACACCCAGTGCCCACGTCTCTGCTTTGTGCCGTGGTGGTGGGACTCTACGGGAGTTGAAAAGCTGATCAAAGCCACAAGGCCCTTCTCCTGAAATAGTATTCACATGATCAGTAGGCCATCCCGGGGCCTTCACTTCTGCACAGGGAGCTGTGATCTGACATATGGAATCTGTCCCAGGGTGGAGAACCCTTCAGCACAGGGAGCATTGACTGGGAACCTGTGACTTACTCAAGGCCAGAATCACAACAACATCAGACATGTAGGGGAAAATGAAACAAAGCATTTGGGTTCTTTAAGTTCCATTATTCTTTTGGCACCATTCTTGGTCTCTCTGAACACCTGTGTGGACAAAGCTCCTAACCTCCCAGAGACGCCCCCTTGGCATCTACCTGTAGCTCTGGACATGAGAATGTTGGCTGACAACCCATCTCAGGAAGGTCACCAGGCCTTCCTTTCCTTTCATACAGGGAAACGGGACATCTCTCTTACTCTTAGGGTGTGATCCCATGACCCTGAGCAGAATGCTGTCCCGTCAGGAGAAACTCGAAGAGTGCTGACGCGGTTTTCATGTCCAAACAGGATGGAGACCCTGGAGCCCTTGAGAACGTCCCAGACATTGATGGTGTAGTCATTGTACCCGGCAAAGAGCAGGCGACCTAGAAGCAGAAGAGGTGCAATGGTTAAACCAGTTCCTGTTTCTCCTTCCTTGACTGTCATTCATCCTCACTCACTTACTCACTAATAAATTTCCCCATCCATCTATCATCCATCCATCATCCATTCATCATCCATCCATCCACCCATCCATCCATCCACCCATCATCCATCAATCTATCATCCATCCATCATCCATCCATCCATCATCCATCCTCCATCCAACATCCATCCATCCATCCATCCAACATCCATCCATCCATCCATCATTCATCTATCCATCATCCATCCATCATCCATCCATCATCCATCATCCATCCATCCATTCATCCATCCATCATCCATCCATCATCCATCCATCCATCATCCATCCTTCCATTCATCCATCCATCCATTCATCCATCCATCATCCATCCATCCATCCATCCTCCATCCATCATCCATCCATCCATCCAATAAACATAGATTCATCTAGGCCCACTATGCAGCAGGCATTGTATGCTGCCTTTGTAGTTCAGGAGAAAGCTGTCACTGTCCTCTGTGGAAGGCATGGGACAGGCAGAAATATCACTGTAGCATCATGTGGTAGGAGTCACCATGCCAGGCTCACATGAGATGTAGGAAGCCAGGCGGTGGTGGCGCACACCTTTAATCACAGCACTCAGAGGCAGAGGCTGGCTTGGTTGACAAAGTGAGTTTCAGGACAGCCAGAGTTGTCACAAAATAAAAATTCTGTGTAACATGAAGGGCCAGCTTGTTGGGGTTTATGTCCTGCCCAGTTCCCCATAGCTGGCAAGCCCCAAAGAAAATCACACAGAGATCTCCATAAGTTATAAAACTGATTGGCCCATTAGCTCAGGCTTCTTGCTAACTCTTATAACTTATATCAACCCATTATTCTTATCTATGTTAGCCACGTGGCTTGATACCTTTTCTCAGAGGGGCAGGTCACATGCTGCTTCTTTGATGATCTGGGCAGAACTGGGGAGGGAGCTTCCTGCTTCCCAGAATACTCCTGTTCTCATTGCCCCACCTCTACTTCCTGTCTGGTTGACCCACCTATGATTCCTGCCTGGTTGACCCACCTATGCTTCCTGCCTGGCCAATCAGTGTTTATTTAAAACATGATTGACAGAATACAGACAATTCTCCTGCACCAACCCTGTCTTGAAAAAACAAAAACAAAACCAAAAACAAAACAAATGTGTGTAGGATGCCACTGGGCTTTAGAGGAAGCAGGAACACTCCTGCCATTTCTAAACCTTCAACTTGGGTTTACAGAGATTAAAGCAAGGTGATCAATGCTTTTGGGGACGGAACAGCTGAGCTGTGTAGAGGTGCCAGACAGTGGCTGTAATTCTGTGTGCAAAGGCATAGGCTCAGAACAGGGGAGTGCCCCCCATCAGCACTGGCCTGGCCTCTGCTAGCTGTCTCCCAGCTGTGGGCGGGGCAGCAGGGAGTTTCCCAGCACAAAGGGCAAGGGGGTGTCTTAGGTGAAGGGTATCTGAAGGTCAGATGTGGCCTGAGTGTACCGCCCCACAAAAGGCTCGGAGAGGCGAAGCAAGGCAGAGAGGTGCTTTGCTTTTTAGGTCCTACACTCCTGGAGAAGTTTCTGAAATAAAACCTTACCACTGAGGGAGAAGTCCACGCTCGACGCTCCAAATATGATACTCTCCTTGGAGTAGATGGCAACCTCTCTATCCGCTCGCAGGTCGTAGAGGCGACACTGAGAAGAAACAGGCA